CTTGGCTCCCCCTGTCTCTGTTTGCCCCAAATGGGAAACTCCACGGTAGGTGGGGATTTTGGAGTTCGTTTGCTACTAGTACTTCACCATCCAAGTCAAGTTTATTTGAAGCCAGGGCTTCGTCCAGCTGATGTCTCTCTGAGCTTGGAACTTAGAAAAGAGTGAAGGAAGGAGTTGTGAAATAGGCTGGGGAAATTGAAAAAACCTGATGTTCTTCAAACAGCATTCCACTCACTGGCCTGCCAAATCAACAGCTCCAAGCCACAGTGACTATTTGGACACTTCTTACTCATTCCTGGCCCATGTAGTAAAATGACCAGAGAAGCAAGTAAAAAATAATAATGGGGGCCAGCCCTGTGGCATAGTGGTTAAGTACGGTGCACTCTACTTCACCGGCCAGGGTTCAGAGGTTTGGATCCTGGGCGCACACCTACACCACTCATCAGCCATGCAGTGGTGGCAACCCACATTTAAAGTGGTGGAAGACTGGCCCAGGGCTAATCTTCTTCAGCAAAAGTAATAATAATAATAATAGTAATAATAATAATAATAATAATAATAATAATAATAATGGAGAAAATTGAAGAGTTTCAAATTAAGTGATTGTAGATTGTATGTTTAGATAAGAAGCAGCCCTGAGGTGTTTATATCACCCATCTGGTTTGAGACATATTTAGTTCCATTCTTATCAGATATCTTTACCCTGCTTTCTGTTTTTCCATTGGTTTCAGAATTCCCTGCAGGGAGGAAAGGGGTTTCACATACCTCAAATTATTATTACCTTGCACAAGAGCCAGAAAAAACCAACTACCTATAGATACTAGGGTATGGCCTCTCCAAAGTTAATCCTTTCTTAAATCAAACTGCACAGAGTCAGTTATCCTATTCTTTAGTCTTCATTCAACACCTTCATTGGCACCCACCAGGTGTCAGTCACTGGAATCCATAGCAAACAGACAAGCTTCTTACGAACATGAAGCTCACAGTCTAGTATGTAATGTAACAGACAAGAAAATGAACAACCAAAAATGTCAGATAAAAGTAAGCACTGGGCAGGTAATTAAAAGAGAGGGATATGTTGTGAGTGACTGTGTTCCTGCTTTGGATTGAGTGGAAGGAGGTGACATTTATCATGAGAAGTAAATGACAAGAAGGAACCAGCTTTGGAAGAACAGGGAGCAGAACATTGCGGGCAGAGGAAGTGCTTCCCAGTATAAAGTTAAGTAGTGAGAAGCGTAACTCTTGATTCCCCCGCAGCTCTGAACCGAGCCACCCTTCTTTCCTTGCAAGGAGCACCTCAAGCCCTAGTGTCTAAGTAATCAACAAGCCATCTCCCCTCCCCTAGACCATAAACACCAACTTTTGGATCAATGCCATCAAATCTGGAAATGTCCCAGCTATTTCCAGTTTAGTTCCCTCCCTAGTTGTTGCTACACTTCAAACAGGATCTGGGCAGTTCTATTTCATTCTCGTACAGTAATAACCCATATGGATCCTTCTTATAGATGGCTCCACGCTAAAATCGCTGACTGGTAAGATCTCTCTCAGTAGATTAGGGAATCTTAAATGAAAGCACTGAAAAACAGTGACGTAAATTGCCCTAAACCAGGCTTTGAGGTCTTCCAGGGCCCTTTTTCACAGGAATTTGAAAACAGGCACATTCCATTTTGCCCTTTGTTAGGGAGCTATCAACAATAAACAGAGTTCAGCTTAGAATTTGCGCTGTAAAACAGCAAAACACGGAACAACCCAAGCTTTCTCACCCAGGGCGACACTCCCCTGGATTCTGTTGATACTCACCCAGGGTTCAAGCAAGGCCATTTGGGAAGTTTGTGGGGGACTAAACTCTCAAAGTATTCGTTTCTTGAATTCCTTGTTATTTTGATTGCACTGGAGACTATCCCACAAGCCATTATCAGAATCTGCCCATCTTGAGTTCCTGTAAATATTACGTCTGCACAGAACTATGTGAACTATTTCATAGCTGGAATATGAACCAAGCTGTGAAAACTCATTAATAGGAATGACATAAGAAGAGCATTAAACCTTAAATGAGAGAAAATTTAGTCGCAAAGGAAAGCTGGCTAAAGGATTATGTATGTGTTGGGGAAAGAGTGTAGCCCTCAGAGACTGATTATTCAGCCCACGCTTGATTATTTAAATCCAGCAGCAAATGTATGCTGACACACACTTCTGGGGGCACTAGGGTGACTTTCATTACAGCAAGTAGAAGAAGCTGAGTTCAGCTCTCAGAGGTCATTCTTTCCATAGTTGATACTAATTGTTCCAGTCAATGGAGACCAAGGGAAGCTGAGGCAGTGACCGTCAACTGTCAGTGATTCCTGGGAAGGAGCAAACTATAGGCAGCTACTGTCATGCCTTCTGGAGTTGAGGGCCAAGTGCAATCCAGTTGCCAACTTCTGAGGCAGGGGCTGTCTCCCATCTTTGGCAGTCCCAGCCTCTGGAAGACTTGTAGAAAGGCATTGTAACATGGAAAGCAGGAATTAAATATGAATTACTAGTATTACACATCTCTGCCCCATCTCCCACTCTTCTCCTCAATGAAGCCGACTCTTATCCAGACCTCAAACTGGAAATGTCATATCCTCATGGAGGACTTCCCTCATAGAGGGTTCCCGTTGAATCAGGAACCCTCCAGAAGCCCTCAGTCCACCCTAGGCTTTGCATTTATAGCACTTAACACCATTTGGCATAATATATACTTACTTAGAAAGCAACTGGGCTGATATCTAAAAGATAAGTTCTGCAAGATGGGGGTCTTTGTTCTGCTCACTGATGGACCCCCCCAAACCCCTAGAGAAGGGCTGGTATTAGTAGCTGTTACTGCTGGTTGAACTTGTTTGGTGTCTGTCTCTCTACTCCAGGAAGGCAGAAACCTTGCCTGTTTTACTCATCATTGACTCTCTAGCCCTAACATAGTAGCTGACCACATAACAGCTGCTCAAAAGATGCTTCTTGATGGAATGGAAATAACAATAGCTAATATTTACTGAGTTCTTCTTCAGGGATTATGCTGGGTGCTTTATAGATATTGTTTTGTTATTTAATATTCAAATTTTAATAATATAGGTATATATTATGCCATTTTGGTTGAATAGGGTCAGTAAATTTTTTTAAATAATTATAATTTATAATATAATTATATATTTAATCCACAATGGATAACTGAGCTAAATTTCTTCCCAGTCTAGTAGGTAGTGCCTTGGTGACCTGAATAAGTGAATTTATTTCCCTAAGTGTCTACTAGGGAGTGACTGATGAGAGAGCAACTCAGTTTTATGAGCCTTAATTATGCTTAACTTGCTTAGAATTAAATTATAGCCTCAGCTTCTATTTACATTGGGCTTTGGAGGGAAAAACATACAATATATTGTACATATGTAGTGCTGGTTGCATTGGGTTCATAGGCGACCACAGAACACTTAGAGTGTTTCTACCTCTGCCAGAGAAAACTGGAAGTAGGAAAAAAGTATGGGCCAAATCTTGCCCAAGATGCTGGTTAAACTGGTTCTGCCAGTGTCTCCTGCACCTGCCTGGGGCACCAGTGGAAAGGCAGGCTTGCCCCCTCCCCTGGGAACCATGCCAATCTCCACCATTCAGCCCCATCTGATCTGGCTGAACCAGGCGTGAGGCAGTCAATAATCCCACCTGCCCAGGTAAAACCAGAAGTGTTTGGGTGGGTGGGGCATGGTCCAAACAAGCATTAGACCAGGTAGAAACAAAGTGACCTGGCCTAGAGTGGAAGTAATTCTAAGGGAATTACTCAAAGTATTATATTCCCACCACCATATTATATTCTAATCCACCCTGGTGGGATTATGTTACTCTTCTTTACCAAAGAAACTGGTGACCCAAAGGTGCACAGTGCAAGAAGTGATCCGTGATCAGTTTGATTAGGAAAATTAAACAATCCTTCAGTTAGATTTTTATCTCTCCTTGATTTCTCTGTCTTCACCACTGTCAACACCACCCCATGGAGACTGAAGAAGTTAGACTGTCAAGAGAAAATGGAAAAAATAAAGACAAACTAGGGAGTTTTCATAAAGCTACATGTATTCAATTTCAAGGGGCTGTCCTTTTGTCTTAAATTATGTCCTTTTGACTTTTTTAGTGTTAAAATGTCCTCTCATTTATGAAATGATTGTGATAAGAAGTGGTAATTGTTTGGTAAAATTAAAAGTTGGCAACCTATGTCAGTTTGCTAACTTTTAAAACATTTCGCTGGCCCGTAAAATCCAGCCGTGTGGGCACCCCTGGACTACTGCACGGAGAGTCCTGGGGGGCTTTGGGTGAGGTGGTGGGCAAGAGTCCCCCCCTGTCGTGTGAGTGGAGCTACAGGTCTGCTGGGGGCGTCCCGAGGGCCCTCTGTCAGCAACCAGCACAACCAGCACACTTGTAAGGACTGACTTTGAGGAACAGGAACAGTCTTCTCTAGGCTCCCAGCGTGCTGTTTCTCAGATCTATCTAAGAGTCCAGCGCTCCTGTACGGCGCCATCTCACCTGTCGAGGAGGAACAGGTCTGATAACCTAATTTATGGTAAACCCTAGGAACTTCCTGCTCAGCAAAGGATCTGTATTTTAAAACTAAGTCCTGAAGAGAGTAGCAAATGCTTACTCCAAAAGCATATGTTGCTAGTAATGGAATCTCAGGGACAGTGAGGGAGCACGCCTTGATGTAGGATGTATCAGATCACACAGGTGGGCATTCAACCAGCCTCTATCAATTACACCCCTCACGTCCACCTTGACACTGCTCCATGTGCAGCTCACCTCAACTTCTCAAACATTTTTAAACCTGAAAATGCCTTCTGTTCTATGTTGATTTTTTTTTTGAGGAAGATTAGCCCTGAGCTAACATCTGCCACCAGTCCTCCTCTTTTTGCTGAGGAACCCTAGCCCTGAGCTAACATCCGTGCCCATCTTCCTCCACTTTATATGTGGGACGCCTGCCACAGCATGGCTTGCCAAGCGGTACCATGTCCGCATCTGGGATCCGAACCGGTGAACCCCGGGCCACCGAAGTGGAACGTGCAAACTTCACTGCTGCGCCGCCAGGCCAGCCCCTGCTCTATGGTTCTGAAAGTCCTTTCACAAGCATTACCTACCTAGTGTGACCCTCATAACAGTCCTGAGAGGTAAGCAGGGCAGGGAGCAATGTCTTTGGTTTTAAACCGAGGAAAGCCAGACTTGAGGAGTATGAACAGGAGAGCTGAATTTGTCATGAGTGGGATGTCAGAAGAGTTTCGGTGCACCTGGGCCTTGGAAGGCCACATAGGTCACTGCTCCTCCTGGCCTGGGACAAGGCCTCTGTGCTGTGGAAACCTCCACTGTGGGTGGAGGCTCCACTCAGCACTAAGCTGGAGAGGTGTTGGGGGAAATTGTACCCGCTGATAACAATCAGCATTTATACACCACTTGGTATTTCCACAGTGCCAACTAGCAATCACTGTATCATTACAATCCTCTTAGGTCAAAGCAACCAAGTGGGATCAGTGAGTTCCCCAGACCCCATTTTATAGACGAGGAAATAGGCTAGGGAGATTAATCATATTGTAGTTTGAGGAAATCAGCAGCATAGCAGGACATCACGGTCCTGAGGTTGGTCAGCTAAATGGAGTGGCTTTGCCGAACCACAGGGCAGGGAGGGTCTGTGCATATGGGTGTGCAAGCAAACATGTACGAAACAGTCTGTTGCCTTCAGTACCATCAAAACTCTAAGTTCATGGTATTTCCTCGATTAAAAATTCCCTGGGCTACACACTGTGGCCCACGACCATGTTTGCATCATAGTCAAAAGAATAACAACAAAACTAAGAAAGAAAGAACTAAGTCTGGGAAACAGAGAAGGACGTGGAAGCTTGAGGTTAAACTGATGCCCTTGGACAGAATCATAAAATCCAGTTCATGTGCTGGAGTCAAATCCAAGCTCTTAGAGATTCTGTTGTCGTCCATCTTCCTCCCCTCTTCCTCATCCACATGGAGAAAATGCCCTCAGTCACCTCTTCAAGCTTTTCAGGTCATCTTCAATGTACAATGCAAATATTGCCTCATTATTCCTCTTTCGGTGTAACCCAGATATATTGGCTCTCAGAGACCAAGACACTCTGTGTTCCTGGAAACGTAAAGAGAGATGATAGAATTAGAAAGGGATGTTTGATGGTCTAAAAATGATCTTCTATCAGACTTTCAAATATTCCCTGGCAGTGTCAGGCCAGGAAGGGAGACTTGCCCGGCACTTTAATATATTTACTGGGTAAATAGTAAGCACTTGCAGCCTCTGTGACTTAATCAGAATGAAGTTCATTACAATAAAGAGCTGTGCCCTTTAGTCCTATTTGCATTAAGCAGGGCTCCCAATTTCGTTTAATTTCACTCACATCTTCCGAGGAAATTGTAGGCTATGAGGGGGCCGACGGAGGACAGTCAGCAAGGATATTCACCAGAGCAGATAAAGGAGAAAGGAAGTAGTGGGCTCAGATTAGAGCAGAGCAAACAGATACCCTCCTTATCAACTCCAACCTACGAAAGTAATTTCACTTTCTTGTTTTTAACTTGAGGTTTGCATCAGTGTCTCTCGGTTTTGCAAACATATTATCGGGTCATCTAAACCTTTTATGAAACATTTCAGACTTGTATGTGCATGAGCTGCTGAAGATTTATTACTTTTGACACCATAACTGAAGATTTTAAGGCATTCTTTTCAGCACAACTTGACTGAAACCCCTGGGGCTAGATCACTATCTCTTGCCAGATGCTAACTTGGTTTCGCTGATGGGAGCCCAGGGTAAGGTTAAAACTGTTTCTGGAGACATTATTTATGCCTCAGAATGTTTAACTCCATCAGTACACGACTATTATAAATCAAGAAATCTGAGATTTTAAGACTAGAATTCTCCCCTACCCCACGCCCATCATCTCTGTCCTCAGTTTATTTCCCTTTCTTTTGGAGAAGGCAAATGGCCCCCTCGTTTTGAATTAAAATGGGCAGAGATGAAAGCATGAGATTCAGTGAGTCCGTGAATAGAAGAACCCGTGTCCTTTGGGATTCTTCGGTATCTGCTCAGACTACAAGAAATCTGGGCATCTCTGGTTGGGAACACGGATAAATGACGTCATTCAACAGAATTAGGACCAGACAGAAAAATGAAGCCAAATCCTGCAGAGGGTAGCACTGAATTCTGGCAGTAGGTATGAAAGGCCCCCACCTGCGCCTGAGAGAGAAAAGAGTGTAACTGTGAAGGCAACACAGTCTCTGGGATGAGGCCGAGAGGATGAGATTTCTGAGATGTGATGCGAGGAGCGGTCGGGGGTGTAACCGCAAATATTGGGCTGTGACAGACGCCGGGCCTGAGGGCCGTGTCTCCCACAATGGACTTGATCACAGTGGAACTATGTCATCTATTGGGCTGTAATCGGTAGGCACAAGCTGCACGTTGAGCACGTTTTCTCCTGGATCCCATCCTTGGCGACGGATCCAGACCTTAGCCTCCAGGATCTGTTTGAGAAATAAACAAGTGGGAGACAAACAACCAAAACAGCAACACAGTAGAGCGGGCGCGGGAGACCGAGCTCCGCCTTTGGAAACCTTGGGCCAATCAGAAGCCTGTTGCTGGGGCCGGTGTTTGGCCGCCTGACGTTCCCATGGAGACGGAGGAACGTTACACACTAAACACTGGGCGACGTTGACGTCTATGCATTATATCCATGGAGACGACAGAATAAACGTCATCCCCCTGCCTCCCCGCCCTCCTGAAGCGCCAGGGGCGGAGGGAGCGACGCAGGCGTCGGCGTCACGTGCTGCAGGCCCCGAGCGAGGCCGGGTGGGCGGGGCTTGTTGCTATGGCTGCAGCTGCGGCTGTTGATGTTTGGAGCTGGATTTAGAAAGTGCTGAGGCGGCAGTGGAGCCAGAACCCATTATGGAACGGCGGCTCCCGCCCCCGGGCCAGAGAGGGTTCCCCAGCCCCTGGAAAGCCAGGACACCCCCTAGGCTGTCCCAGCACGCCTCAGCCTCAGGTCCCGAGCCAAGATCTGTCTGTGCTGCCTGTGACTCCAAACTGAGGGCCAAACCCTCACCACTCCCTCCACCCTTAGCCGGCCATAATTGTCAGGGTGACCTCCCGAACCGCCGTCTCCTCCAGACAGCATCCCACAGGACAACCACTGCCCAAACTGCCTTGCCCATGGGACAGGAACAAGACCGGCATAGACAACTTTCCCCCTCCTGGAGTAAACTCCACAGTCGAGGGGAATCGGAAAGGAGTTTGGATTTGTTTTTATACTTTAAAGGCAGGAGAATGTTATACATTCATTCCTTAGAGCTTTGTTGAAGACTTGAGGGAGGGGTGCCTAGTAACCCCATTCAAGAACATTCCCTTCTCAAAGGAAGAGAAAATTTAGAAATCCCAGAAGACTGTGATTCTGAGAAATGGGCAAGCATGAAAAACGTAGGTCAGTAGGAAGGAAGCTTTGGTCGCCACACTGCTTAACTTTGTCTTGTCGTACAAGCTAGCGGAGCGTGAGGAATCTCAGTATGCTAGTCTCCTCCTTCACACAGCTCTGGAAACAGTCACAGGAAGATTGCGGCAACAAACTGTAAACAAAAGCAGATCCAGTAACAGAGTGGAGGGTCGGGATGACCATGTGAAGGCAACCACTGTGAACAGAACGTCACATTTGAATGATAGGGCGCAGCTGAAGGGCCCAGGACTTTGAATTTTTTCCAAATATCATCAACTTCCAGCCTGGCTGAATTTAAATGGTCTCTTATTTTTGAGAGACAGCAGAGGAGGTATTATTTGCTGGAATTAAAAATAAGCCATTGGGATGAGTACACAGCATCTGTTTCCCATGGCAGAAGCATAAAGAAGGATTTCATTAAAATGAATGGCACCTCGGATTGGTCTGGGATCCCTCCGTTCCTCCACCAACCCGTATCCAATCCCATTTTCCATCTTGGACAAGTCAGCACCTCAGGGTTGCCTCCCTGTGACTCTCTGCTAGACCTCCCTGGGCTCCCATTCAGATGGTTTACCACCTGCCCACAGAGCGTATCTGTTTCCTTTCAATATTCCCTTGCTCCATCCTCTGACCTACCTCTTACTCACTTCCCTGACACCCTTCTCCACACAGTTCTCCCTCAACTCCCTTCCCTGTCTGTTGCCACTCCCCAGGTTTCTACCCAACTGACCAGCACTCCCCAAACCCTTGCCCCATCCGCTCATCTCCACCGTAATGTTTTTCCTGTCTGGCCCTTACTTAATGGAAGAAGGCAGCCTTCTGTAAACGTAGGCCAAATACAGGAGGAAGTGCACCGTAAGTTGGACGAAGTCGTCATCTGCACTTAAAAAAAAATTCTGGATAATAAGATTTATGCCACATATCCAAGTATTATGCGGATTCTGCTTATTAAGGACTATGGGCAAGGCAGCAATGTACTAATTCTGACATTTTCAGGGAAGTAATGATAATTTCTACTTTTTTTCTGTCGACCGATGGTCAAGCTAGACCCCTTTGGGAGTGTCAGTTGCCCTCCCCCCACCCCCAATATTCCACTTAGAGCGTAAGGCAGATGGAAAAGACAGAAACCTCAAGTTCAGGTTAATGGGAAGGCCTGACTTGAGGCTGGATTAGATTGAATCAGTTTTGGCATGGGAATGAAGTGGTTTGTGTTTTGTTTCAGATGGGAAAGTAAAAGCATTGATATGATTTATCCCCAGGCGTATAAATAACCTATTTTGCCGTCTAGAAAAAGGTGGAGCAGCAGTCTTGCTTATCTTCCCCATTTTAAGCTCAGAGTAAAGTCAGAGTGAGACAGTTTTGTTTACAGTAAGATTCTATCTCTCTCTAGGTCTCTCTTCCAATTCTTCAGGCCAGTCAAGGACCTAGCAAGCCACTGCCAGAGAGTGTGGGGGAAGGGAAAACTGAAGGCAAGATTGATCTAGTCCTTTGATGTGCCAGAGCTATGCAGAGTGCTGTCTCACATGGTGTCTCATTTTATCCTCCCATCATCCCTGAGTTAGGTCTTCTTATGCCCATTTTGGCAACCAAAGAACCTGAAACTCAAGCCAAGTAACTTCCCAAGGATGTAGGACAGAGCCAGGCTTCCAGCCCAGGTGTCCTTTTTCAGAGTTTTTGCTCTTCCTGCATCCCCACGATGGGGTGGAATGCACAGGAAACTTCCACTTGGATCAGTCACAAGTTTACGTTTCTACAGGGAACTCTATCCCCTTTTTCCACGTCTGTTAAAAAGAAAAGGTGGACGGGAGAGGGAAGTTCTTTTTGTGAGCTCTGCTAGAACTCCGTGAAAAGGCGCTGACACCACAAAGTAAGAATGTGGCTTCATCCCTGCCTCCTGAGACTAACCCAGGTTTCCTCATTGGCCCAAGATCCGAGAGGCAAAGAGAGACATGCCCCAGAGCACATGCAGCAGCAAAGTTTGGGCGAGTTCTGGGAGACTCTGACCTGCCCTAGGGTAGGGAGGGCACTGCTTGAGTTCACTGGCTACCTGGAGAGCTCTGCCCAGATTTATGTGAAGCTGTCACTTAGACTGGCCCCTCCCTCTTCCCTTCTCTCCTCCCCCATGCCTGACCCTGCAGAGAAGCACGTCCAGCACGAATTCCTCCAGCCCTCAGATGCCTTTAGGATTTTAATGTGTTTAAAGAGTTCCCTCCTTGACAAGCAGCATTAGTCAAGAGAGTGGGTGGGAAGGGCATTTCCCCGAGATCCAGGGCTTGGAGGAAGGGAGACCCTCCTCCCTGGCTGACTTGGCAAGCCGCGCCTGGAGAGATCCATGTGGGTGGCAATGAGTACAGACAAGCGAGAGGGCTTCTTGCCGGGCAGGAATGCCCACGGGCCACACCTTCTTCAGCCCTCCGAGCACTCATCTTGTCTAGACCCGCGAGGGGGGTGGCGGTGCCAGGGAGTGGGTTCTCCTGTGTCTGGCTCCAACAACGAGTTATTGTGATGATTCTATTTGTGTTCCCTGAGTTCTGTTTGACTTGGCAGCTGGGAGGGAAAGGGCAGCAGGTTCGCTGGGTTTGCACTGGGTGGTTCCCACAGCCACACCCAGGCATGAAAGCCAGCGGCTCGCACCGGGGTTGCCTTCACCTGGGG